TAAAGGGATAATACCAATTGCCTGCTCCCTTAATGTCTTCGAGCTAGCCCACCTATGATCCCAAAACAGAGTTTTTCTTCCATCACTAACTGCTACACGAGTTCCCTCAGCAATAATGTTAGCATTTTCCGTAATTCCCCTCCATACATTTGAGATATTTGCTTTTAGTTCAAACATATCAACATCGCATCTTCCTTTACAATATTTGCTTCCAAGAACACAAGCCCATAAAGCATTTGGTTCGGTGAGAACTCTCCACCCAAGCTTTGTTAAAAAGGCCGAGTTAGTTTCCCTTGATGTTCGAATCCCCAATCCCCCCAAATTTCTTGGTTTTTGCAGATTTTCCCAAGAGATGAGGTGAATTTTTCTCTTTTCTTCATCCCCTCCCCAAATAAATCTTCTTGTACGTTTGTCAATGTCATCGCAAATTGTTCTTGGAATTCTTGAGGTTTGCATTGCATAGGAAGCCATAGTTGTGATAGTTGACTTGGCTAAAGTAATTCTCCCCGCCAAGGAGATATATTTTGATTTCCATCCCGACAACCTTCGATCAATTTTCTCACAAAGGTAGCCAAATGTATCTCTAGTAACACGGCTGGTTAAAGTAGGCATACCCAAGTAAGTGCCTAAATCATCAGTTTGCTCAATCCCCAAGAATTCAGTGATATCAAGACGCTGCCCCTCACTAGTATTCCCCGAGAAATAAATCCTTGACTTTGAGCAACTCACCTTCTGCCGCACAAAAACGATCTAAGCATTGTTTCACCCATTTTGCTTGATCCAAATTGGCCTCAGCAAATAATATGATATCATCTGCAAATGCTAGGTTTGATAATTGTGGCCCATTCCGACTAGCCCTTATTGGTTTCCAACGATTAAGAATTATTGATTCTTCAATTATTTGATTTAATCTCTCCATGCAAAGTACAAAAATGTAGGGAGATAGGGGGTCTCCTTGTCTAATGCCACGCTTAGGAGAGAAAGCTTGGGTTGGCTCTCCGTTCCATAACACACGCATAGAAGATGATGTTATACATTCCATAATCACATCCACAAGCAAAATAGGGAACCTAATTTCCATCAGAGTATCCCGAATAAATTCCCATCTCAAGCAATCATATGCTTTCTCAAAATCAATTTTGATAGCCATAAATCCGGCTGCACCTTGTTTATTTTTCATAGTGTGGATTACTTCTTGGACTATAACAATATTATCAGTAATTTGTCTCCCCGGCACGAAACTAGTTTGTTTACTAGAAGTAAGGTGTGGCATCATAGGTTTAATTCGATTAACAATAGCTTTCGTAATGATTTTATAAGCAACATTACATAAGCTAATAGGGCGAAATTGAGAAGCTACCTCCGGATTGTCAACTTTTGGGATGAGAACCAAGAATGTGTCATTCAAATTATGCGGCATTCCTTTCCCATTGAGCACATCAAAGACTAGAGTGTACACGTTCTTTGCTACTAGATCCCAATTTTTCTGATAGAATAAAACTTGAAATCCGTCTGGCCCCGGAGCTTTGAGCGCACCCATTTCTTTTATCACCTTATCAATTTCACACTTGATGAATGGCCTTGTTAAATTGTTCCAGTCATATGTAGTAAATTCTGGAAAGATGTCACGGGGGAGTTCTTCTTGAGGTTGCTCATCATCACTATCAAACAAGGTCTTGAAATAATTTACAATATTATTTTGGACCTCCTCTTTTTCGGTTAACCATCGACCATCAGTGCTCTCTTTGATTGCAGAGATTTTGTTGCGCCATCTACGAGCTATAGTACTTAAGTGAAAGAACGTGGTATTACGATCACCATCTTTTATCCACTCCACCCTAGATTTTTGATACCATAACAATTCTTCTTGTGTAAGAACTTCATCCAACTCCACCCGTAATTTAGACTCAAGCTTAATTAAATCTCGAGCCTTTTGAAGTGCAAGAGCTCGCTGCACACCAGCTATACGTGCCATGAGGTTGCGCTTTTTTTAAAAAATATTATGGAAGGTCGATTTGTTCCATTCCTAGCTCTTCTGCAAGATGTTGGAGATTCGGCATAAGGGGCTCTTCTTTTTTCCACTTACTTACAATAAAATCTCGGAAGTTCTCAAGAGTCATCCAAGCTGCTTGGAACCAAAACGGCCTATTAATTTCAGCAATTGGCGCAAAACCATTTGGGGCAATGATGATTGGACAGTGATCCGATTGAATAGTCGGGAGGTGTTTAACTGCTGCATTAGGGAATCTTAATTTTCAACGTCATTAATGGTTATGATAAGAGATAAAATGAGTGGAAAAATAATTTTTTTTATTATTTAATTGATTTTTTTTTAGGAAAAGCTCCAAAGGAGCAACTAGCTTTCATTCATAAGGAGATCATTGTTCAAAAGAGAAACAATACAAGACGGAAAATCCGTCAACCAAACACTACTACCTCTACCTCCCATGGCAAGTAATGAGCTAGACCATGTGATCTAAATATCATATCATTTGATGACATTATGTTGAAAATCATTTTTTTTATCATTGGTAAAAAAATGTTAAGGAGAAGGTTCGAACTTGAAGCTAGAACAAAATCTCTATATTCTCATCAAAAATCAACTCATGCAAAATTTATTTGATAAATATAACCTAGGGGGTGACCAAGGCCCACCCCAGACCCTCTTGTTTTCGCCCCTAAATGGTCTATAGTAAAATAATTAATTCAATCACTTGACAATAATGAGTCCTCTCCCATAGCAACCACCCTCTTTAACAAATAAAATTAATGATACAAATTTCGTTTTGCTAAAAAAAATGGAAAAAATTAAAAAAATTAAAAATAAAAAAAGAGTGGTCCTCAATTAATGATTGTTAAATAACACTTCCCTTATATATAATTTCCTTTTAATTCAGTACATTAAAGGTCCTAACCGCGGATCTGGGTTTAACATCATGTTAAACAGGCTTAGACCACACCTGTCACATATCCATTTTATAAGTCCAAAGAAATTTCACCTTAAAATCAAATAGCGATGAGGCAGTAGCCAATTAACCTTATAAAGCAGACACACCTACTTTCTTAGTTCATCAATATGAGATACACATCTCAACACTCTCCTCACTTTCACATTCGTTTAATGTGGAACACCATTTCCACTCACATAGTCACATGTGAGTTTGTTTGTATGGATAACCCCCCACACCTATGAGTTGTCCATAAGCAGGGTCATATCAAGACTCAACCTAACTTAGGTTCCAACACCGTTAAAATGGGTCACACCCTTCATGAGTATCACTTTATAAGTCCAAAAGATTCTACGTCAAAACCATCACGAGAAATAGCCTTTTAGGCTATGTTTGGATAACAAAAAATGGAAGGAAATGAAGGGAAGGGAAAGAGAGGGAGACAAACTTCCTTGTTTGGATAACATGTTGAGGGAGGGAAGGGGACGGGGAGGGAGGGAGGGAGGGATCCATTTTCCCTCCTCCTTTAATAAAGACCATCCCTTCAAAATTGGAGAAATTTGGAGGGAAAATGGAGCTCATCATTTCCTCCACTTTCCCTTCCTTCCCCTTCCTCCTATTTCCCTCCCTTCCATTTCCCTTCTAATTTGTTATCCAAACATAAAATTAACCTTATCTCCCCTTAGCCATATAAAGTATTCAACTCTCTCTTCTTTTTTCAATATGAGACACTTATATGTGTTGTTTTGAAATTTTACACATCAATAATAACAAATTAGGGAAAGTTATTCGTTGGTGGTTATGGTTGCAAATACAATAAAAAAAAATGGTGGATAGTGGTGGTTTCTACAATGGTCAAATTAGAGAAGAAATTGGAGGCCAAAGCTGGGAACTTTTATCAATCTTCTTTTCAAATCTGGGCTAGAATTATCAATTGTGACATTTATGGAGTATGTGTCAAAAGGTTTAAGAAAATGGTTTGTACAATTTGAAGCTTCAATGGTAAGAAATGGTGAAGAAAAAGCTTGATAACAGCTGCCATAAGAGAAGGGTAGATTTTTTTTTTTTGTACAAAAATAAAAATTTAATGTTTAACAGATTTTTTTTTAGTAATTTAACAAATGAGCTCAGGTATTCAAAAACTCTTTAAAAAAAAAACCCTAAAATTTTCTCTGTTCTCTCCCTTCAAACCGAACGACCATTTGAAATTTATAAATGGTAACTGGTAAGCCCCCAAATTCTTTCTTAATTTAATGTTTTTTTGTCAATAAAGATCACCAAGAGCATGGTGATTATAGTCGGTCCCTCCGTGTAGGGTTTTGTTAATCTGTCCGTGTAGGGTTTTGTCAATCTCTCCGTGTAGGGTTTAGTATTGTTTGTTTGTTTGTTTTTAGTGAGTGCAAGAATACAAATTTGAAGATTCAGTTTGCAAATTTGTAGAACTACGAGGCTGTTGGTATAGAGGTACATTTAGAAGATTGATGTAGATGATCATTCAAGTTTTATCACTTTTGAGACTATACATCAATGGAGCTCCGTAAAAAACAATGCAAAAACATCTAAAACTATTCAGGTTTAGTTCACTAGTTCAGAAACGATGTCATTAGTTTACGGGTGTTTAGTTCTTATATTGAGAATTTAGATCTCTTAAGGGATGATCGTAAGTGCCGAATGACGATTATTATTATTTAAGAAGTCACCGCTCCCTATTCCATTCCCACAAAAAATAAAAATAAAAAATAAATAAATAAATAAATAAAAGAAGCTCAGGGGTAAATTAGTCAAAGGGTCACTTAGTATAATCAAAGTATCTTATTTTACCCTATATAATTTTGCAGAACACAATGTCACCATGTAGAATTTTCTTTTTTAAATTATAAAAGGTGTGGAGTATTAATGAACTTAAACGTATACTTTTAGTAAGAAGCTACACCATTAAGTACTAGCCACACAAATTGACAGTATCACCTATGAAAACCACGAGGGAAAAAAACTTCCAGATTGAAAAGCTCAAAGGGCTCCCTTATTGACAACTAATTTGAAAACAGGAACTCAACAAAAAGTTGGATTTATATTTTATACACTAACTTTCAGACTTTATATTGATAAATCCACCTAGCTTCGCATCAAATAATAATGGAAGAAAATGAAAAACATGGGAATGTGGCGTATATCCTAATCAACTGAAGAAACGTGTGACCATACTAGAATATATTGTTCTAAAATGTAAAGACATGTTCAATTTACTTTTACAAAATTGAATGACAAGGTCGCTTACAAAATGTTACCAGATCAGTGATGCAACTGCTGTTATCTATGTCATTGAAGTAGGCAAGTTCCTCTATCCGACTCATTCAACCACCAGGTTTGTCCGCTTATTCTGTATCTTGTCATGCGCTACTTCTTCTTTATGGGGTTCACTACCACATTTAAGACAGATAACGTTTCTTCTGAAGTTCAGGAAATCACACCTATCAAAAATGAACTATTAATTAGAGTTTGAAATCATAATCATAGCACAATATTGGACATCTAAGAATAAGAATGTTAGATTATCTATCATGAAGAGAAACAGAGAGATAGAAAGGCTTACTTGAAGCACTCCCATTCCCCAGGTTCCAGAGCCCTTGGGGGTCGTGGATCCTTGCAACGAAAACAATTCCGTCTGCTAGCAAAATTTATGCATTCGCACCTATCACAGCAAATTATTAGGAAAGTGTGCTAAGTAGATCAACAGTAAACTTAAAATATAAAGCAAAGTACCTAACAGCAAATCATACTGTCAACTTCATAAGCTAATGCAAAAGGTTGATTTCTATACTCAAAGAAGTTGCTCCTATAAACCACATCCCATCACTTCATTTAGGGCCTTTAAAGTCGGTCGCATCACTACTCAATGACAACATTGTATAGGTTTTCGAGCAATCATGGCAGCTATGATAAATTATTTATTTTGGCATTAAACTGCATCCAAAGTCTACAATGTAGGTAATTATTGGCAACGTCTTACATTTGGGCCTTTAAAGAAAAGAGAAGGAAGAAAAAATTCCCATGTCTCTTTTATACCTAAGCAAACAATAGCTTTGATCCAACTTCTCCAGACAGTCATAGCTTACTAAAAATTTCAATCAATATGAGGAACTGGAAATCTCATACTTCCTCCGTTTTTTTATTATTGCACCATAGAAGTTGGGGACAAATATTTTGGTAGTGGAAAAAAATAAGAGAGAGAAAGGTAAAAATACAAAATTGCCCATGTGACATATTGATATATTAAAAAGTAAGTGTGAAAAGGCAAGAGTATGTTGGGTATTTATAGTGTGAACACAAATAATTTTTTTCCTAAAGAGGAAATGGTGCAATATTTGTGAAACTTCCTAAAAAGGCAAGTGGTGCAATAATAAAAGAACGGAGGAAGTATTATCATTTGGAACTCACTGTGACATTGCCCCTTTTTCAATAAAACAGTAAGTCCCGCATTCTATTCTCAGTAGGACAGCTGCACTTCATCTTTCCAACATAACAAATTTCTGACTAATTTTTTTTTTCTGGGAATTGACAACCCTGGAAGCTGTCTACTTCACCCTCCCATATTTTGATATTTATAAAACTACTATATAAAGTTCCCACATGACAAATAATGTACATTTTACCATGACAATCTGGAAAAATAAATTTGGTTAGGGTGTTCAAGGAAACCACAACTTACTGGAGGCACTTCCAGTCACCTTTCTTCATCTCAACAACGGCATTAACCCGTTTAGGACCCTCCTCATTGCACTTCCGACATTTGATGTTCTTAGAAAAATTCATGAAATTGCACCTGCAAATCAATCCAAGGGGCATGAAACAATAAATCAGAATCTGAATGTTATTAATTAGATATGTATGAACTGAATGCTTAACTGATATCACTGATATTTGCCAAAAATAAAAGAAGAGAGAGAGAGAGAGAGTAAACTAATTCCAGATAAAATATGTTTCAAAAATCAATTTATTTAGGAAAAATTGTCAAAAATAATACAAACTTTGAGCAATCCGCTAAAAACAAGTCAAACTTTTAATTATTTCTAAATAATACAAACTTTAAGGGATATCTGCTTTAAACAAGTTATTTTACCTACAAGTTATTTTACCGTTTTTTTTTTTTATTTATCTTATAAAGTTATTTAATAGTTTTTTAAAAAAATACAATATCACGTGTTCCATATAACCTATTCATGAGGTAACTAATCGGTTTTAACTTGTTTAAAGTGGATAACCCTCAAAGTTTGTATTATTCAAAAATAATTAAAAGTTTAACTTGTTTTTGGCGGATTGCTCAAAGTTTGTATTATTTTTGACAATTTTTCCTTTTATTTAACCATAAAGGCCATTAAACAGCATGTACAATCCCAAAAAGGGGGCTCTTACAGAGTTACAGGCATAGCACAAGAATTCCAAATATATAGAAATTCATCATATTATCAATATTTCTAAAATGGTGCTTTAATTCTATATGCGTAGCACTAGAACTCCGTCCTTCTTCCCCAATGATGATGAATTTGCATCAATTATTGAGACTAAGGATAAAAGAAGACACAAAGTACTCTTTGTATACATTTTAGGACCAATGCCTCCTATGAGATATAGGCTGGGAGTAGAACATTTAAGAGACCTTGAATTTGTGAACAAGTTCAAACAGGGCTCTTTAGAGAGCGTTCCTGGAATGTTAAAGGTTGTCAATGATATCAAACTACTTGTTCCCCATAGATGAACAAGTTGCTCTAATACGGGGGTTTTTTTTTTCTCTTTTTTTTTTTTTGCTACTGAATTACCCTCTCTTTTCAGGTGATAATGAACATAGTAGAAGTTAGGAATACAAAGCAAGGTTATGGGGCAGGCCAGCAGTATGAGTATTTTAACATTTTCTCATTCTCATTCTAGTCATTCACTATTTTACTCTTAGACTTCCAACCACACAAAGTTGGAAATATGTAGTGTGGTTGTTGGTTTCTAAGTATAAATGTAGCAGTTTATGTTTAGCTTTTTCGGCTAAGGAAATTTAAGACTTACTTAGGACATGTCCAATCCCCTTTCTTCTTCTGAACATCTTGTGACAGTGCAGCATCCCTAGCATGAACAGATTGTTCCTTCTTATAGGCAGAATTTTCAGAAAACTCACGAGGAGGTAGACCTGTAGACACCTCACTTAAGTTAATCAACAAGCTCAGCAATCTCCTTGAAGCTGATTCAGCCTGCTCAATACTGGTAGTACTCACTAATCCAGAGATAGTTATGGGATCCAATGCATAGGTCAACAAGAGGCGCATGACATCCACCATTCGAGCACCTCCTTCAGATTCTCCAAGCATTACAAAAGCTCGATCACAAGATCCTTGAAGACTGCATATGTTACATACCTGCAGGTAAATAAAGATATATATCAATATACAATTAGCTAACAAGCAATTCAATCAGCTGTAAATTGAATAACCCAGATCCAATTCATCCGAACACAAGAAACAATGCCTTTCAGTTATTCATTTTCCCAATGCTTCGTAATAGTGAAAATAAATAATTTGTATAAAAGGCTTGTTACAGTAGAATGAGCATTCCCACATCTCTCAATTTTCACTTTAGCAAAGGTGGCAACTTTATGATGGGCATCTTGACAATACTCACAACAATACATATTCCTATTGTTTCCTGCTGGAGTTGAAGACTTACTGGTATATTCAATACTTAGTAGAACAACTACTACTATTTGTTTTTCATGACTAAAAGGCAAGGAGTTACAAAGTCAGGATATCATTTAACCAAGGCAAATTATATATCTAATAGCTAGATTTGAATAACCATGACTTTAATCAGGTAGCGTGCGGCCTTGCCTGCAAGATGATACTCTTCTTAACATAAATGTCAAATTCAAGAAATCTGGCAACTCAAATTTAGATATACAACAGTTCACTTCACCCAAAAAGGTTCACACTCCCCTGGACACTAAAAGCCTCCATGCTGAAAATTTAAAATGCCTCGGTACACATACTTGTATCACAACTCTAAAGCCATAATGCTGAAGTGCTTTGGGCATCAGCCCCTAATAGCATTGAAAGTGAAGGAACCAACTTATATGAACAAGCAGGAAGCAAATCGCCACAATAATTCACTAATTTGAATGGTGCTGCCAATAAAGACATAGAGGATTTATCAAGTGTAATTGGAAAGTACTTGTCTGGGCTCACCATAATACATGAGAGCAAAACCACCTCCTGGTAATTTGTTGATAAGATGTTACAGCTCACGGAAATCAAGGGACATTCTTCTTACTATATACTTAAGATTTATAAACTCCGAAAAAGGTAATATAAGGGAAAAAAACTGCTTCATTATAGTTTTTCCAGGAACAGAACATGTAGACAACTTTTTGGCACAATAACTCTAAAATTGCACCTCTAACAAAAAGGAATGTCAATTCTCAGTAGCACAGCTTTACACTATGTGCAGAAGATTTCCTACTCCAAATGAGTTGTCGCAATCTTGGATATATTATAGATCTGGTCATCTGGCATAAAGGAAAAACTAGAGAATTTTGCAGCACTTTCTTTGTAGACAACTAACCTCCAAGTTTCCAAGGACTCCAACAGGTAAATTTTTAAAAATGACTGCAAAAGTAAAATTTGTAGCCTAGTAGCAATATTGAGATTTAAGCTACCACATTAAATCCCAAATTTTCAAATTTTCTTATTCACCCAGTCCTGAATTAGTAGTAATACTTCTATTTTTGGGAGGAAAACAAATTTATATTATTTTAAGACATCTCTAAATCTCTAATGCCTTTTGCAGAAAGTTCATGTTGCACAAAATGTTAGCATATCAAATTTAATTCAAAAAAGGATGTGTTTCTAAGATACTTGCATGTTGCTTGTTTAAAAGACAAGTTCAGCATCATTAAATGACACTTCACTTACTAATTAGATATTCCTTAGACTTACCAATCCATTTATGAGGTTTACTAATTGATTTTACAAAACAAGCACACTAGACTTATCCTACGATTATTTCCAATTGATTGACTCTATGGCCTGAGAAGTGGATTTTAGGGATTAGGAAATGTACTTAACATATGATGTAAATCATGTAATAGACTCCATATGTTCTGGATGATAATTGTCCTACCTGCTTGGCAGTAACAAACTAACAAAGTAGATTGAGAGCTCATACATTTATCAATTTTTAAGCTAAACATGTGGCAGTAATGCATCTGATGTTAATGATAGCAAATGCATAAAGGCAGTTACAGACTACTCCCTCCGTCCCTAAATTACATTCCTCCTTTCTATTTTTGGTATTCCAAAATTACATTCCTCCTTTCTATTTTTGGTAAGTTTTTTTTAGTAAATCAACTCTCTTTTTCTGTTTTATATTTAATGCTTTCTCACTCATCCTTACCTAATCTCACTCATAATCCTTGTGCCAAATTACAATGAATATGATTGGTTAAAAATTTTCAATTAGGAGCATGTGATTGGTCCTTTTTTTTTGCAAGGGATTGATGACATGACATGTCATGAGTAATTACTAATCCATCTTTGTACTTCCTATTGCATTATCTAATTATTGTTATTTGTCTTATTCTTTCCTCCTTAATTCCCGTGTAAATTTCCAAAGAGGAATGTAATTTAGGGACGGAGGGAGTACTACACAGTGGAAACTGCTCATTAGTTGCTAAGATGATACTAACATATGTAACCACAAATCAGGCCCAAGACCGGCCTTTAATTGGTGAGGGAGCGATTGTGAATTCCTGAAACTATGTATATGATTTGCTTATCATATTAGAAGGAAAAGAGCAACATTCAGAGCAGATATATAATACCAATATACCTTGGCATGACAATGGGACAATTTAGAAAACCTATTCGTTAAATAAGATCCATAATATATGACATTCAGGATGCAAAAGCAATAGAATGAGATAATTTTATTCAATTCTACATCCAACAAATCGAAATTACTCACACTTTTCTCTTCCAATCCCACATATACTCTCAACCGTTTCGCAGAATTAATAACTTTGCGTTGAATTTTAGGACATCCTTTCTCCACCAATGTCTGAATATCACCTTTTGACAAAGACCTGCATGGAATAAGTGAAAGCCAAGATAAGGTACTGCATAAAAATAAAAATTAAAAATAAACCCATTTCCGAAATAGATGTTCAACAAAGATAGCTGCCAAGCATATATTTAAAATAAATAAATTACAGATGTAGAAACAGTTTATGCAAACTATTCAAAAAATAAAAAAGATAAAAAGAGCTTGAAAAGAGTAGTTTTACCAAGTTACAAAATAACCCTTGAAGAGAAAAGCTACAAGAAGTAGTTGGAAGTTCTAAAAGGAACATAACTATGCTGCAAATGTTTAGTTGCTAGAAATCTTGCTTTAAGTATCTTCTTTACAGCCATTGTTATCAAATCTAAGCTTCCAAAATGCATAAAACCGCACTATATCTTCCCAAAGTTCAATTTAAACATGTCTCTTCTCTTACCTTTTCATTAGAAATATAATGGACACAGAACTAATTAGCCTCATTATTCATTCACAACTAATTAGCTTCATTATTCATTCACAACCACTTGTTCAATATTGATCAAAAGGTGACAATTAATTGAATTTCATCATACTGTCCTAACTAAAGCTTTCCCCTTCGTGTAACTACCCTTAATCTTCTTTGATAACCTTCCCTCTATTACATTAACAAGACCTTCCCTCTTTTTGATCTTTTAAAACACCTAATACTGACCCTCAAGGGCTCAATCACCTCAATGTGTGAATTAGTCATAAAACTTCACAATTACACAAATCAGATCAAACTTAATTATCTCAAAAACCAACAACAGTCGAATTTGCTTGGCCGAAAACTACATATTATGAGTATCCCAACTAGTGATATCACCAGTTAATACAATTGAAGTTATACGACACTAGTTAATCCAAATCCCTTTACTCCCTAAAAGTAATGAACAAAAACATAAATTAAGGATAATAGTTCATTGCATTACCCCAAATATTACAATTTGTATCCAAATTCGTAAGAAAGACAAACACAACCTACATAAATCCCCACATATATTCAATCAAATTCAACCTCCAAATAATTCAAATTCAACCTAAAATGCAACATATCACAACAAAATAATTCAAACAAAAGCAAATAAAAATAAGAAGAAAAAAACCTGAAAAGGTCGTAGCGGTCACGAGCAAAGCTGAGGCAAGGGTCCTTCAAGATGCTAACTTCACCATAACGAAACCCATCATCGGAAGACTTCTGAGGAAAATAACCCTGTAATTTCAAGCGGTCGACAAAGGCAACCCATTCCGGCCATGGATGATGAGAAGGAGAAACTGTGGTAGAAGTATCAGAGCCTTCAGAGGAAGTTTCAGCAACCAAAGAAGAAGAAGAAGAAGAGCAGAGACGAGAGAATAAGGTGGTGTGAGGAGGAAAGTGGGGGTTCCTGGGTTTGGCGGTAAAACGGAGGAGAGAGATTGACGAGAGAGGGTGAGGTGCTCGGATTAACATTTCTGATTTCTTCCTACTGTTGCTACTGCTCCTGTTGTGTTCTACTTCGGATTGAATAACCTATATTCGGGAGGGAACTCTATACCTGGTATATATTTTTTTTACACCTTCAATTCTGTGCGTGTAGAATAAAAATTATTTCACATTTTCACCAATATACTCTTTACTGGGTTAAGTCCATTATAATTAACTTTACAACAAAAATTTTAAAGAATGGTTTTTTTTTTTTAGGGGAATAAGTTTAGTTGTTAATTTAACAATAATTTATCCAAAAAAAAAATATTTGAGACAAAATAACTTGAATTTTAATTTATACCAAATGCGTAAAGGTTATTATTTTGAATTATTTTATAAAAAAATAATTTAGTAATAGAAATTTAGAAGTTATTAGGTTTAATATAAGAAAATGAAATTATAAGTTTAGGTTAGTACCCGTATATGTCTTAAAAAAAAAGGTTAGTACCCGTATACGAACTCATATACATTCGTCCTTATATTTTTGTTGACACACTTTGACCGGCATTAAATGAAAATTTAGTTGATTTTATATTACTTTAGGATAATTAGTATTCCGTAATCAACTTTTTAAACATATATTCATAGTGAGCAGTAGCGGTTTTTATTTTAATTTTAATAATCACATTGCATAAAATGTGTAGAGTAATTAGATTGAAGTTTTCAATATATATATATATATATATATATATATAATCATAATTTTTAATAATCTCTAATAAAAGATGTTGATAATTAAAGTTGTGTCCCGACAAATGTGCAAATCCAATTCTAGTGTATAAAAAACGGAGGGAGTATAATATAATAAAATAATTTTGTTCAGTTGTTTGTATAGACGTTGTGTATAATTTTAAGATTCATACAAATTACGCTACCAAAATGATTTTTCTATTTTTAATTAAAATAAATTTTAATGTCAAATGATTAATGTTGAGCTTGGAGGAAAAAATTGATACTCCTTAATATTAAATACTCTTGGACAATGATATATTTCAATACCTTATTTTTAAATCTATGTTTGTAAATTTGTAACTAAAAGATTAATAGTATATAGAATATATGTTAAAAAAAATATACTTCCTCCGTTAATGGTTAATTGCAAGTTTTGCAACAAAGGAATATTTTATATCTCACAAATAATACCCCTTTGTTGCAATTAACCATTAACGGAGGAAGTATATTAATTGAGTATGATTGGATTAGATATGTTGTCAAAATAGAAATAAGTATTATTGTAGCTTATAAAATGGAAGTCACTAAAATTTGGCAAAAAAATAAAATAAAAAAAAATAAAAAAAAAAAAGGAAAAGTGTAAAAAGGAGGGAAAATTATTAATGACGTTGTGACAAGTGTCATCGTAGATTCACTTTTAGTATAGGTTAATTGATGATTTCACCCCTCTCTCTAAGAGCAACTTCAATGGTTGTAACTAGGGAGTTGTTTGCAATTTCAATAATTCCCTAGCTACTAGTTTGACCATTGGAGCTAGAAAACTCAATTAGCTTGACTAAGTTAATTTGCTTGAGAATTAAACTTGCCAAAATAAAATGTTTATTACACCAATTAAACTCTTTCCATGTATTTTCTGTCCAACGTTTACTACTAAACTAATAGCTAGCCATTGAAGCAAAAAGTACCTAAATTGATAATTAGATTAAAAGCTTATGTGGCATGACAAGCTAATTGTCAAATTAGCTTGCCATTGAAGTTGCTCTAAACTACTGATATCATAACCACTAAATCCCCTCTTCCCACCCCCTAACGAGGGGAATTTCTAAATATTAGAAGAAAGAATAGAAAATAAACTAGAGTTAGGGCCTGTTCTCATACATTTATTTTCAGTTCAGTTCCTTTCAGCTCAGTTCAGTTCAGTTCAGTTCAGTTCAGCTCCTAATTTCCTTCTCTTACAAAATATTCATTTCATTTTAGTTCAGTTCATAACAGGCCCTTATTACAAACATCAATATCCATACTATTGCACATTAAATGGCTTACATTAGCTACCCAATTTGCGGACAATGATAAACCTACATTGAATGTATGTGGGACACCACATACATTACCAATTAAAAATTGACAACTCATCATTAGCTAAAAAATTGAGAGGGAAAATTTTTTGGTTTTTGGCGCCATTTACTTTAAGAAGGTGGGACAAATTTCATTGGCGCCAAATAATATTTCCTGTTACTAAAAAAATATTTTAGGTTACTAAAATATGCAATTTTGTTACTAATAAAATAACATTCTAGCCAACGTCAAATGAAGATAGATGTTTATTATAAGAATCGAATAATATTTCATTTGACGATGTTTTACAAACTACAAATCAACAAATCATTATAAAAAAAACCAATGAAATTATTTTTTAAAGATTTTTTTATAGACATCCCTATCGATATATTTTCAAAAAATTTATGAAATTGGACAATTTTAACCCTACTATGTTTGTTAACTTTTTAAAAGAAGTGTTAGTAATTTGTCATTATTGTTATAACTACAAAGTTTTCAAACATACCAAAAATGCACATATTATATTTTTATTACATATAAAAAAATATATAAAATTAAATAGGTGTTAGCTACAATTATACAATTATAAAGTGTTGTATTGATTAATTCATACGTTGGAGGGTTTTATTCATTTCTTGAAGGTTTTTAATCAAATAATTGAGAGTAAACATAAAATCACAAAAGGTAAGATTACACACAAATTATTATCACTTATTGCTAAATACTCCCGTGTGTTTTTTAAAAAAAGGTTGTTAATAAAAAAAATTGACATATATGAATAAAATATATAGTTTCGAATACTATATTTTCATTTTTTTTGTTACCATATAATTATGTGATTAAGGAAACTATACTAAAAAAAACCGTTGTGATTAAGGATGAGATACGAACCCAGTACCAAATTTAATGTGTAATAATTTATGAGCAATGTGTTACTAACCAACATTGTGAGATAATCTGATATTCACCATAGAAACATTTAGCAAACAAAATATATTACTTTTCATTGCATCATCGTCGGTAACTAATCATATACTTACAGTTTTCACATCAATGGTTAATATTGATGTGAAACTCGATTACTATATGTTTACTTATTCAATTTTATTTCTTATGACTTTTCAATGACTGTGTTTATTTCACATCATCCATAATTTTAAACACTTGTCGCCTTTTTTCTCGGACATGAAAAAAAAAATTAAACAATAATCATTACACGTGGTCAATATAATGTTGTCTTATTTCCTATAACGATTAATGTGTTTTAGTAAGTTCAATTATTAAGGGTAAATTGGTAACTTTGAAAGTTACAACTATGTTCTATGTATAGTATTCAAAGTTTGAAAAATTATTGAGAATTATATTCAATATATCAATTTATTACTAATAATTATATGTTCACAATTTTTTTTTTTTTTTTTGGTTTTGTTATTACTACAAAAGTGTATTTATAAAATATAATTTACTCATCACAAGATTTAGGATACAATATTTGTTACTATCTTTGTAAATATCAATTGGAGGGAAAGAACAAATAAAATTTGAAAAAGAGGCAACTCATGTTCTTGTGAGGGATCAAACTTGGAGACAATATTTCATCGATGCAAATTTATGTTCATCATTAGTAATAAAGATTGCAAGGTAAACATTGACATTTGTAGGATTTTGTTGTTTTTTTTTTTTTTTTGTTAATAATAAGTAGTGCTACGTCTCTTATATTTAGTTACCTAACATAATTGTTTGTCCGTTTGTGTTAATAAACAATCTGCTTGTGTTACTAAATAAATTAGTAAGTTAAAGTGTTTAATATCATCGGCATTTTTTTTTTTTTGCCATTTTCGCCGACATTTTATCGTTTTCAACCATTGTTGAGGTCATTCGACTCTCCATTTTTTTAACTAACGAATACGAATTTGACTACTTTTGTTACTTTAGTAATCATTGAATTTCACCGTTAATGGCGCCCAACAAGCTATTAATGTACGAGGTTGTATGTTTGATTATTAATCGTTGTTAATGTTTGAAGTTATGCATTGACACACCTTAAAACAGAAATTTCACCTCAATTACCAAACATAAAAGTTGTAAATGCGAACAATTAAGTTATTAATGTACGAGGTAAACATTGCATACAAGCTATTATGCATTATCGAAGCTATTAATGTACGAGGTTGTATGTTTGATTATATGTTTGAAGTTAAGCTTGTGAGGTAAACATTAATAACTTGATTATCCACATTAATAACTCTGGTTGATTATCGAAAATTCAAAAACTTATTTAACACAATTTTCTTATTATTCTGAGGTAAACAACGATTATTACCATTGTTTACCGTAAATCATTGTCCTTGTGAGGTTTCCCTATATGTTTTGATGGACAATTTGTTCGTGAATTAATCTAGCTTGCTAATTTCTTAAACTTCAAGTTGTTAATTTCTTAAATAAACTAATTACATCGTTCATTATTTGAAATTTTTATTAGTTAGCCTTAAGAGATGACTTGTGCACCGCATGATTGACTTTGTCATTTTGATAAATCTGAAGTATAAACGATAAAGAGCTTATGTTATAGTCTTACTAATGCTGTAGAGCCATTAAAATATTGAAATATGAAGAAAAAAAATTATTAAATTAATTACATTGAAAATAACAATTAATTCCAAATTCAAACCTTAAGTTAATTTGAAATTTCATTCAAATTTGAATGATTTATCAAAATTAGTGGATTTTGGGGCCCATTAAAACAACCAATAAAATGATGTCATGTCATAATGTATGTGGGAGCCACATACATTCAATGTTTATGTAGTTTTTTCCCCCAATTTGTTGTGCGATTTGCCTCTTGGTAAATGTGATGGATACTCCAATTGCAAAACCAAGAAAGAAGATAACAAATATCTGAAGGATTTATGTCTTCGATAAGTGCAATTACTAGATATATCAAGGATCACTATTATGGAAATAATTAGTTCATTCTATAGGGTAGTCAATGTTTGGTGCTAGATATGACAATTGATCTTTAGGCTAGTTAAATAGTCCAAAGCCTTATAGAATGGATCCTATGAGGTCACACACAGGAGTATTGGGTCAAACAAGTTAAAAGTCCATTATTAGGCCTCATGAGTTTATGACTAATTATATATGGCTAGACACTAGTCTAGGCATATTCCCCTACACCCCTCCTTAAACGCAGAGTTTCGTTTAACATCCCTT